TATGATCAACTTCTGATGCGGTGATGGCGGCTAACGTTAGCTGACCCCCCCCGTGGCCGCTCGCTGGTCTCACCTCTACTGACCTCTGGAATCCATCAGCGACCATTTCTAGAGCCAAGGGTCTGAAACATCCTCTAAATGTCGCCAAGAGGGTCTCCGATGCGCAGCTGAGAGCAAAGTCTGACAATCACAGCGACATCACTGGGAGGTAAATGCTACAGATCCATGCGGGGGGAAAAACCCTCCTGGATCACGATGTGGGTATTATGAGTCCCTCTGTCAGACACCACCAGCTCCTTTTAACCACGTTTAAGATCACAATTTCCCCGCGACACACTAAAGCCATGGCAAAAGTTTGTCCAACCAGAAGTAGCCCAGCAACAGTTGCTATGAGAAGGAGCGTTCATTAAAGGGTTATATTATAAACTAATTTATTATCTGCAATATCCCTCTCCAAAAACTACAGCAGCGTTTTGTTGATGTTGGTTTTAGACATTTTGAAACCCTCCAAAGCTTCCAGCAGAAAGTCACTTAGTCACAGAGACACACACAGACCTTATCAGCCGAGCGTGACCTCCAAACAACGCCGAACAAACAAACGGAAGTTACAGAGAACATTTCAAAACTTTTCAGATTCAAGCAAACAACCCAGAAACGGACCTCGGACTGTTTTCTTTGAAAGGAAGCTTCTATGAAGGTCATTTTGATCTCTAAGGCACCCGTGTCCAACTGGTGTTTTTTTTCCAAGCGCCGACGTCTTTTTTTCAATAGGTAGAGAGTGTTTCCAGCTGAAGGCGGCGAAAAACACGCCGCCCGGCCTTTTTTTCCCAAGGGCTCCACCTTTTTGGCTGCTCCGAGTGCTCAAGTGTAAAATCTTTTCAGAAAGGCGCTGCACTCGAAAAAAGATGCTGGACGCTGTGTTATTTCTCCAGCCGCCCGCTCGCTCCTGCGAATGCGCTCATCTCTTTGAAAACAACTGAAAAAAGGCGCTGGACCTGTGGAAACGGGGCCTGAGCTAGCTCGTGCTGATCATATTTTTTCCAATTAGATATAATTAAAATAAAAATAAAAATCTCTTCAAATGTGTTGAGTTAGTAAATTCGGACAAAGACGACTACAACAAAACCAGAGGGCTTGCGTTACCTGTTGGTGTCGTGACCCGCTGAAGGTGTACTGGACAGAATGAGGCGGGTACCGGCTCTGCTCGCTGCTGAAGCTCCCCTGGCTGGGGGGGTAGCCCGAGCTGGACATCTTGGCTCAGTGCAGGCGGGCTGCTGCTGCTTCACAGATCAGAGATGTCAGCTAGACCATCTTCGGAGACACAAACCATCTGCAAAAAGACGGAACAACAAAACAAGATTATAAGACAACATCAAGCAGAATCAAAAAAAGTTACCAGCAACGTGTTGGACTGTTTTATAACGACAGGCTGTTAACAAGTCCATTTATTCTCTTGTGATGAAAGCTGAAGGGTTCAAAGATTCCTTAGTGGTTGAAAAGTTCGACCAAAAGAACAGTCATTTTCCCTTTACCTGTGAACCCAGGTACGCTTTCATATACCGAGTTCTCCCTAAAGGCACCGGAGAGAGAAACACGCCTCTTAGTTTACACTCTTCAAGTCAAGGTTTCAGATTCATATGAAGAGCTGGCAGCGATAGGACACGACCCCTCAACAATCTGCATCTTAAAAATGACCCGAGAGGATATAAGGGACGATGTATCCTGGTTAATTGATCATTCCTGTCTTCCTCTCATAGTGTGATTCACTTAGAGAGGACATATTATCCCCCTTCACCACCTTTTCAAACAGTCCCCTGTGGTCTAAATGAAACATCTGTGCTGTGCTTCGGTCAAAATATAACATGAATGAAGCACCAGAGGAGGTTTGTGACCCTGTAGAAACCAGCTCTCTCAGAACGCTCCGTTTTGGTGTGTATGTCTCTTTAAATGTAATAACCCCCCCCACCCCACCCCCCTGAGTTTTCCTGGTAGACATCACTCCTTCACTAGGGAATAAAATTACGGACCTGTGTAAAAAAAATTGTTCTAGCCTGGGGGTGGAGAAACCAGGGGAGGGGAGTGGATTCTTTTTAACAGAATCCCACTGTGACATCACAAGGAGAGCAAATTTAAAACAGAGCATTTTTCTCTGTGTTGTAAGACTTATGCAGACCACAAACAAAGGACTGGATGGGTTTATTTCACATTTTGTGGGTCAGTAGGTCAGGTTACCAAATATATGTTCAAAAACACTGTACAAGTGGATTCTTCACAATATGTCCCCTTTAAGAGTTGTGCTCAGGAGGACCCTGGTGCCGAAAGTCAAACGGCTTCAAACATGACTCCGTATTGTGACAAATAAAGTAGAGGTGAGCCTTTCCTTATTTACAAGTTCTAGGCGAGTCCTAGCATGGAAAAGTAATGAGTCTCTCTCTCTGTACTGACGATGGCGGAGGATGAGACAGCACGGGTCATACCATGACCACAAACAGTTCCTGAGAGTTTATAACAACACAGTGCAGAGAATAAACAGATAGAGGTGGCACAATCCACCGATCCAATATATCGGTTGGTTGACAATGGAAAGTCAAAACATCGATCGATCCACATCGGCGTCTTTATGATGCGCCTTTATTTCGAAATCCCCTACATGCAGGCAGTTTCCGCCCAGCTGTGCATCATCCTGCACTTCAAACAAGCTAGCAGCAAGCAGTCATGAGCGAGCAGCAGAGATAAAGAAACCAGATTTTCACTCCTCTCTAAAGTAAAAACAGCTTTGTGGGCTGCCCAGCTTTATTTACTGTGTTTGCACTGCAGTGCTCTTTTTTTTATTATCTGTAAACGATCGTCATCTAAGATCTTATACAGGTAAAAAAAAAAAAAAAAAACTCCCTTTGCTATCTACCCTTAGCTGAAGAACGAGCAGCGTTTGATGCAGGCTCTGTAAACAAAGAGAGAGAAGTCTGCTCTCACGTGAGCCTCCTTGGATGGATCGATGGTAGAACAACGCCTCATGTTAAATACATTGTATAAATATCAGCTGCTGGAAGTGATCTTAGCAGGACAGCAGCTCTCTCGCTCTCATGAGGCCGTCCTGTGTCCAAAATAAGGTCCTCTCTTCACTGCATGACCGTGTGTCACAGACACACGGTCATGCAGTGTAATTCACTGTAATTTTCATTTCTTGCTGCTCTTTGCACGTTTCACTGGATGATCTTGAAGGGGTTAGTAATGTTTAATATATTTATGTAGTAAACATTTGTGGATGTTTATAAGTGATGTTTATGTTTTCGGCTGCTGGTGGGAGGGGCGTGTCTTGTTGAAGGGCACCTCAGCAGTGCTCAGGAAGTGAACTAGCACCTCTCCAGCTACCAGACCAATTTCCAGATTTGGTCCACAGTTGGACTTGATACAGGGACCCTTTCCAGACCCAAGTCCAGACTGAGTTACTGCTGCCCCTCTACAGCTGTAAAGTTACAGCATCTGCTACGGTTTCTACAATATTCTAGGGCTGCACAATAAACCTTAACGGTATCGTTGTCGAGATTAACATATCGCAAAAGTCTGAAATAATCGCACTAATAAATGATGATATTTAAAGGAGAAAATGTGTCTCATTCAGCATGTGCACATTTTACCTGTTAGAAGGAGACACGTGTATAATAACAAAGCTGTCACAACATTGTGATGCAGCCAGAAGAAGCTACTTTTGGATTGATTTGGAAACAGTGACATGTTGTTGACACATTGTGTAAAATATTGCAGCCGATATGCAGAGAAACTGTGAAGTATAGCGAATATGAACGCTTTAATATTTGTGTATTTACTACATTTTGTTTCATGTAATCATAATGTCTCTCACTCAACCAACACAGAGGTAGGACACAAAGTATTGCTCGTGCAATTGTCTCTTTGTATGTTAAAAACTGACAAATTGTGAACTATAGCGATGTCATCTCTTTGTTGACGTCCTGTATTTATATTTATTCTGCTTTGTTATGATGATCTGGACCTATGGGTTTAAAACAAAGGCAAATGTTTTTATTTATTTGTTTACTGATGTGACATTTCTGTTTGATTTTCTACAGATGAAGTTATTTCTTGTATTTACATGATAACAGGTGTGCAGCAAAAGATTATTATCTCATGGGAACAAGTTATAATCTTGTAGTTAGATGATAACTTGGGCTAACAAGATAATTATATTGTCTTGTACACACAACGTAATTACCTGGTGCACACAAAATATTCTTGCAGGTTAAAGGTTATCATCTGACTTGTGTACATAAGATAATTCTGCTGAGCTGTAGATGTATTTTTTGAGGTTTCAGGGCCTCCGTAGTTGTCTGTATTTTTTGATATCGCAATTTATATCGCAGAATGAAAATATTTTTTTTTCTGAAATCGTGCAGCCCTATAATATTCTATGTATACCAGACAGCCACAGTGAACTTCGTGGCATCCGGTGAGAAATACAGCTGCTGCATAGTGTTGTTATTGTCATCTTTAAACACCATACTGTCATATAAACGCAATTGGATTTGAAGCTTATCATGGGGGATGGGACTATTTTTACCACAGTACTTATCCGGAAATGCGTCTATAAGCGGCACAGAAATAACGGTAACCCAAAAAGTATAAGCTGCTTTATGATTCCAGTGAGGAAAGACATCGTTTGGGATGTTGTTGTTGTCGCTTGCTCGCTAACTTAGCCCGAATTTCACCTTTGAATTCTCAACCACGTCGCCATCTTGCAAGGCAGCTTTTCAGCGTACACCGGGGCGCTTAAATATCGTGCTAATTAGACATGGTACCTCGCTGTTTCTGGGTTATGTTTACTCACCTCATGTTCAGAAGATGTACCGATGGCAGAGAAAGGTTTCCCCGGGCCGATTTAAGTGTGAATTGTTGATTGTAAATCCGCGGGTTGCGAGCTGTGGACGACCAGGCAGACCGAAGGCTGCGCCGCATTTGTCGGACGAAGTCCTGAAAGGGTAAAATAAACGATTCGACCTCGGTTTAATTTAAAGGGCACACAAATGCTGTGCTGAAGCTATTTACACTAGGCAAACTACAAAAGTGACATCAAAACAGTTATAGGGTCGTTAATTTACTCGTTCGATTAATTAGTTAATATTTTCTTTTTTTATTGTTATGTCCCTGTAAGGAAAACAGAGTGTAACCGCTAAATATTCCCCCAAACACTGTAATGTTCCTGGTGAATGTAATTTCCCCCCTTTAAAAACACGAATGTGACTTAATACACATGAGTCTGCTATTTAATTTTCACGTATTTTGTATTTATTCACGCCAGAAAAGTATTCGGTGTCGTATATTTACGTTTATTCGCCCAATAAGTTAATGTAAAGTCAAACAAATCAGTGAAGAGTCCAAGAGATACAAATACACTAAAACGCTGGGGCTAAAATGTGACGCTATAGATTTATCCGTCATAGTTGTGATATTTATTTGAGTATTTAGGGGAGGCTTGAATGTGAAAAAGCTATATACGTCATCTGCATTCTGCTTTTCAGACATGGAACCATTTGCGTGTTCGCTCTCGTCTTTACACGGATTGTTTACGGTAACGGTCAAAATAATGAGTGTTTACCTGGTTGTCTTTGTAGTATTGTCCTATCTGCTTTTGATAAAATGCATATATTATTGGCATCGGCGGTTGTTTATGAAGTCGTTTAAAGACGTAATGAACGCTGGTATCCGGACTCTGATCGTGACTGCACACCCGGATGATGAGTGTATGTTCTTCGCGCCAACGATTATAAGACTGGTTGAATTAAAAGCGGACGTTCATCTCCTCTGTTTGTCTGAAGGTAAGGTGCCAGCCTGCCATTGTTTGGATTCATAACCTTAATGAGTCACTAGGAAGACATGTTTAATTAAAACTTGCTGCTAACTGACGCTGGCTGGTCTGAGTAACATAGTTTACCAATAACTTAAAACTGGAAGCGAAACTACGGAAGGCGATTAGGGCCAGTGTAAAATCAAAACAAAATAAAATTTCAAAACTCGGACTTTTTTTTTCCACAGCAGTTTTCAGGCTTTCTTTTTATTAAGGAACTGCAGAAGTCTCAAAAAGATACATATTTTTTGTTGTGTGCACACAAGTTATTATCTTGTTAATTATTTATTTAGTGTTTTTAATTTTTGTATTCCTGCATTTAAAACCTCAATGCAAAGCATATTGAGCCTACCTCTAATGAAATGAGCTTTATAAATAAATGGTTTGTAAATAAAAAAGTTGTGGCTCAGTTGGTAGAGTCGTCGTCTCTCAACTTAAAGGTCCGGGGTTCCATCCCCAGCTCCTGCAGCCACATGTCCCATGTGTCCTTGGTCAGGACACTTAACCCCGAGTTGCTGCTGCTATCGTTTATCTAACTTGTGCACACAAGATGTACTCACATCATGGGACTTAAGGATTATCTGGCTTAGAGGACCATTATTACAGAGTCAGTGAAAATATGTTATGTATAAATTTTTGAGAATGTTTCGATTTGCTCCCAGACAGAACCTACTGACCTAATTTAGACTTGATTCAGTAACATCTGTACAGTACCGCACATTTATATCTTAATATGCTCTCATTTGTTTTACAGGAAACTACTACAATCAAGGAGCTCTGCGTAAACAAGAACTTCTCAACAGCTGTGCTGTGTTGGGAATACCCGACTCCAGAGTCACCATAAAAGACCACAAGTAAGAAAACATCTGCCGCAGACACTCAACACATCATCACAACAAGAAATATGTTATACTGGTGGGTTAAAGATGCTGTTACACTTCTATAAATATGAATCCAAACTGAGGCTACTTGTTCACTAAATTGTCACTCAATAAATAAGTATAGTGCTACATTTTTATAGCAGTTATGTTTTAGGGTGTCCGCTTGTCAGTCCCTTCAAAAAGATAGTTGACCATAGATCACAGCCTTTCATTTTCACTACAATAGCTGCTTTCACACTCGCACAAAACTCCTGAAAAACTTCCTGATATTTCCAGGCTGAGCTGCATGTGTAAATGCAACCAGCTGAATGTTTCTCTCTTCACTCGGAGTTTCTCCTCCAGCCTCCTCGTATTTATTCTGCAGAAAGTCAGAGTGAGCTGATGTGAGAACGCAGCAGGATATAATCAGGAGAATTCACCTGGAGCGAGTGGGAGGGGGTGGTGACGTTTATTCCCTGTGATCGCTGCACGACCATAGACTGTCTGCACGCCACCTCTACCATCTCTGTGCTCTAATGAACCTGCTGCATTATGTTTCCTGTTCTCCAGTATGTTCTTCTGCACTCTTTAGTTCACATTGTGATTCTGTTCAACTACATGTAGCATTGATAGAAAGACACATATTCTCATTACAGTGTTGTAAAAATGTAAATTGTTAAGCTTTTATTATGAATTTTTGTACTGTCTCAGAGCCTTTTACTTGCTGTTTAAATTCAAGCCTGATTTTATTTTGAAATGAGGTAAGGTAATTTTGGTAGATGGGGGGTATAGGGAGAGGAGCCACAGGTTGGACCGTCTGCTTTATAGGACTACAGCCTCTGAACATGCGGCGAACACACTAACCACTAGGTCACCGGTGCCACGACATGAACTGATTTATAATTTAAGAGTACCATAGGAGGAAGTGTTCTGTAAGGACTTTTCACTGCAAAGTAAACTGTAGCTCTACTGATTTAAATATTTAATTATCTTACAGTGGAAGGCCATGAATGATGTATAGAAACATCTGCTGTTCTTTCAGTCTGTCTGTATATAGCCTAAAGATAATCAGACTTAGCTCAATGACCCAATGGTCACATATCCTCCTCTTCTTCACCCCCCACCCACCCACCCAAAAAAAAAAAGCTGTAAACCCAGGGGAAACAGCCCTGCTCAGAACAGGCTGTTTCTGTGTCTGTACCTTTAAATGTAAATGAGCTGTGTCTGACCACGCCCCCTCTCTGGAAGGACTTGGGTGTCTCTGGCTTTCTCGCTCCATGTTCTATTGTTTACGGTGAGAAGGCAGACTCAGAGGGCAGAACAAACACCTAGCTGTGGGAGTGTCACCCACCTGGGGGAGGGGTTACTGCCCTTTGTGATGTCATGAAGGGAAAATCTCCAAACGCCTGTTTGGGCACACTTTTTCTGAAAAGTGGAGCAGGCAAAAGACGGAGAGGATGGACTTTTATCACAAGTTTTTAAACAGACTAGGGACACATATAGTGTTAGAGGAACATGATGAAGTAGATTTTACAGAATATGTGAAATTTAATCGGTTCCTCATTCACATTTTAAACACAGAGCTGATCGAGTGTTTACACTTTGCAGTGGCAGCTCCTGAACTCTGGAAGTCCTCCCCATAACGTCAGGTCTGCTGAATCTGTAGTTTCGTTTAAAAACTCATTCTCATAGGTCAGCATGTTTCTAAGTCGGTCTGTCTGTGTGTTTCACTTGTGTTTGTGTATGAATGCATGCTGCTTTAGGTGATTTATGTATGATGTAAGTGAGCTCAATCAGTGATCATGTGAAGCACTCGGAAACTGCAATGTTGTATAAATAACGTTTATTATTATATCATTAAAGCCATACTCATTACAAGTTCAGCAGTGAACTCAGCTAAAGACAGAACTTCCTCTGATTTCTGCTGCTGCGTTTTGTTTGGTTGTTGACGCAGCTGTTAGACTCTCCGTCTGCTGGCTCTGGCGATTGGCGAGGTCAAGTTACAGAAAAAAGTCACGGTAAAAAAAGGTGATGTTTTTAAGGAGTTTGGGGGGATTTTTCTCTCTCTCTCTTCTCTGGATCAACCCTGCAGCTTTCCTTGAAAATGTTTGGAGTTTCTAAGAACCACGGGGCCGCCTACATATGAGTCCCTGCATGTTGGCTCGGCAGGAGAGCTGTATGAACTCTGGCACTAACCTGGAACTTGCAGTAATAAGCTGGCAGCCGGCCCAGGTTGTCTGCCCCTGAGAACATTGTTGCTGTGTGTGTGTGTGTGTGTGTGTGCGTGCGTGCGTGCGTGCGTGCGTGCGTGCGTGCGTGTGTGTGTGTTTTCAAATACACATGCACAGACTTCCCAGTTTTATATTCTTGTGCACACAGAAAACAGCTGAACTTTGATCTCGGTGCTGTCTGCACTTCTGCTGAACTGGAGTGCAGCCCGTTTTCCCTTTCTGTGTATTCGGTTCATGTTTGCCCAAAACACACACCTAATCAGCACTTTGAGCGCCCCAGCCCCGCTCTCACACAGCCAGGCTCCCTCTCCCCCTCTCCCCCCACTCCTCCCTCTCTTGTCCATGTCTGCTGAAGCCAACTGCCAATGACTGTGGGATAAATTTTGGCAATCCTCTGAGCAGAGCTAATGTAGGTCATTCCGAACTGTTTTTCCTCTTTGTGTGTCTGAACATGGCTAACCACACTTTGGTTTAACCCTCTCTGCCCTGAGTACATGCAGATGAACACCCCTGACATCTCCTTCTTTTCTCTCTGCTCATTTAATTATAAACAAAGAAAGTTTTCACCCTAACCACTCCAAACTAATAGAAACCAGAACCCGACTTATCGAGGACACCGAGACTGATATCGATTCTGTAAAGTCTGTGGCAGCCAGATTGAGCCAGATTATATACAGAGTTATACAGATTTCATCATTATGACTATGAAGGGGCTTAGAAAGACGCTTTCTTAAACACATAATTAATTAGAACCGAAGCCCGAGGGATTCACGGACCGCCCGATAATGTCGGCCAAAAATAGCAAATCATGTAATTTTCAGTATCGGCTCATTTGATCTCCGATACGTATGTGCCAATATTACTGTTTATTGAATTTCACTCGGTGTGTTTGTGTCTCCCTTCCATTAACATGTTGATATAAATCACATGGATTCAATGAAAGTTTTTATAACTGTACCACACATTTCTTCTCCTAACTGTAGAGTCTCTTTAGCAATTTCTCAGTTTATTTTTGTCAACTTTAGCTCCTAAGAAATACTGTCCATTAAAAAAAAAAAAAAGCTTTTATATTTAAAGGTCACATATCCTCCTCTTCTTCAACCAGTTTAAAGAAGTCTCAGAGCTCCCCAAAACATGTCTGTGAAGTGTCTTGTTCTAAATCCACTCTGATCCTGTATTTGATCATGCCTATAAACCCCTCTATTTTAGCCCTGCTCAGAACAGACTGTTTCTGTGTCTGTACCTTTAAATGTAAATGAGCTGTGTCTGACCACGCCCCCTCACTGGAAGGGCTTGTGTGTCTCTGGCTTTCTCACTCCATGCTCTATTGTTTACAGTGAGAAAACAGACTCAGAGGGCAGAACAAACACCTAGCTGTGGGAGTGTCACCCACCTGGGGGAGGGGTTACTGCCCTTTGTGATGTCATGAAGGGAAAATCTCCAAACGGCCTGTTTGAGCACACATTTTCTGAAAAGTGGAGCAGGCAGAAGACGGAGAGGATGGACTTTTCTCATCATTGGGGGGGTTTGTAGACGGACTAGAGACACATATTAGAGTTAGAGAGACGTGGTGACGTGGATTATACATAAGATGTGACCTTTAAGTCCAAGTCTTTTAATTTCATAACTTTTTATTTACTTTATTTCCTAACTTGGAGCTGCCTTGGTTGAACCCTGCTGCTTAGATATTGAGGAAAAGGTAACAGTCGAGGATTTAGGGGGAATAATCTTGGATCCACAGAGTTGGCATATCTTGCTTTTGCAGCTGTGAGTCTGTTCTCCTGCTGTAGTGTGGGAAACAGAAACAAAATCTCTGTTTGTTTGGATTCCCCACAAACCCATTCAGACTTGAGACGGATAAAGTGAAAGACAATAAAGACGGGAGGTTAGTGCGGCTCATGCACATCATTCACTGCTCTGATCTCCAAACAAATCTCTGGTGTTTTGAAGGCTTTCATTGTAGGCATGGACGATAACACAGAGCCCTAAAACAAGCACAGAAGCTATAAAAGTGAGCTCCTTGGATCAGGAACTGACATTTTTACATGATGCTATCGGAGAACTAAACAGAGAGCAGCGGATCCTGAGAGTCTGAGCGCTCAAGGTCTTTCTCTCTATTGTCCTTGTTACGCAAACACAGGCCAGGAAGAGAGCAGGATGTTGGAGCGTCGGTCTTTACAGTTTGAATCGCTGCTCGATGTCGCACCACAAAAGACTCGATCTTAGAACTCTTGCAGTTAATTTATAAAAGATAGTGATGCAAATCCTCCTCTTACAGGAAGAGAGCAATCAGAGTCTGAACAAATTGTAGACCTGTTTACAGACTGCACGGTTAAAGTAAACACAACTCAGTGGAGAAGTTTCCTGTTCTTACGGTTAAATACGTCCAGGACATTTTCAGTCTAAATGTCAGACTCTCAAAGGGGACGAGGTGTAGAGTCTGAAGGTCACAGGCGGGAATGACCTCCTGTAGCATCCTGTGGTGCATCGTGGGGGGATGAGTCTTGCACTGAATGTTCTCTTGTGTCTGACCAGCATGTCTTGTACTGGGCAGAAGACATTATCCAAGATGACACAACAACACAGCATCCTCCTCCCTGACAGCATCGCTGGCCCTGCAAATCAGTGTGTTGAGTCTGTTGGAGTCCGCTACCCTCGGCCTGCTGCCCCTGCACAGCAAACGACAGCAACAGGATAGCGCTGATAACTGAGTGTTTGGTGTGTAGTTGTGTTGTGGAGCGGTTTCCATGTTCGTGCTGTTTCATGCATGTGACGTGATGTACAGCACAGAACATTCCTGTAAATCCTGTCGCATTACTCCACTGAGCCACAGGGGGCAGCATCGCATCCAGATACACAGGATTGTGCAGGCAATGACATTGTAGAAGAAGACATTCATGTAAACAGTGCTGATGTTAAATATTTTTGACAAACAGTGGATGGAGCTCGTGATGTTACACTGTGAGTTATAGTCAGTCACTTTAATCGAGTACAGAAAGAAACAAGTCAAACATGTCTCAGTGCTACGTTAGATAGAAGTGTGTTGGTCATGCAGTGTAACGTTAACGACTTCTGTTCAGCAGAATGACTTGACTGGACCCTCAACGTGGACTCAAAGGTCTCGTGCCCCGTTCAGATCTGTGATCTGAGACTCTGCGGCCTGTAATGTAACAGGAATAACACGTGAATTCTGTTTTAAAATAGGATTTTCCCTCTAATGCTCGCTGAATAGGACAGCTGTGTTGACAGTATCTGGGGCCCCAGTGCATGTTGGGGCCTTTGTGATCAAGCTGGATCTGAGCACGCTCCGCTGCCTCTCCACTTGCACCGGCCTGACCTCTGTCTGCTCCCTGGACTCCATTAGAGCTGCTCACTGCACAAATCCAACTGTCCCACTTCTTCATGACATTATCCATCACACTGAACCCCACCCCCCCATACACACCTCGATTCTTTCATAACCTTTATTATTTCACTCTTCTTTTTCAGCAGGGTGTCTTACTTTAGAGAAGAACCTACACTCGTTTTACTTTGTACACTTTTTAAGTGGTTTAGTGGTCATTCTCTGCAGGGGTGTAAACTAAGCATTCATGCAGTGACATCCTGTCTCCACACGGGGTTTAAATCTGTATTGATCAGATGCATAAAAAAACAAATAGTCCTGGTTGATTTATGCACACATGGCAGGCCGCAGTAAGAAGTGGAGAGATGTTCCAGCCTCGCGGCTGACCTCTGGCTGTGCTTTTATCCTGGATGCATTTGTCACCAGCGCACACCCACACACACACTGGTCTCTGCCCAGTCAAACAGTTGATTTTCCAACAAGCTGACCCCTGCAGCTGGTGTCATCTGATCACCTTGCTCTTTTTCGACCCCAGAAAGCTTCTTTTCCTGGTTAGTTTCATGACGTTTCACTCCTTAACACACGAGTGAATATTTGCAAAAACCTGAATCTACAAATATCGAAGTCATTGTAGTTCAACATGTGTGTGTACTGGTGTTGTTAGCACAGTTGTTGCTGCCTTGTTACAGGGGGATATTGTGGGCGTTTTGTCAGTTTGCAGTGGCATCTCAGCCGTTCGCAGCAGGACATATAATCTGACTGTGTGGACAGAAGTCTGGCAGTTTCACAGGCCTGTGGTCCACGTGACCAGACTAAACAAGCCCTCTCTGACACACACACACACACACACACACACACACACACACACACACACACACACACACACACACACAGAATCCCTTACTGGGCCAAAGTTCAACCACTGCATACAGATGCCTGCAAGCAATTAGACGTCCACATGCAGAGCTGCAAAGGAGGGAGCCAGGGAGGTTACTCTAGGACATTTTGCACGGTTGCCATGGCGAAGCTGACAGTCGGCCTACATCCTGCCTGAGAAAGGTCAGGTGTCTTGGATCTGTTGTTCATTTTTCTTTTTATTCACCCTCCTCCTTGCAGCGTGGTTTGGGTTTTGAGCTGGAAGGCGAAATGTCAGAAATAATAAATGAATAAAAGCAGCAGTGGGACCGTGCTGCAGCGTGGAGAAGCTGTGACCTCAGCAGGATGTTTTGATTCTAAATATTCATGCACTCTGGCCCAATTCTCACAAAACCCAGTTTTTGTTTTGATCAGCTTTTGGTCCAACAGAAAGGAGAACTTGATACCTGTGATTTATACATTTAGACTCAGTAATTGAATGACACTGTTTTTATTTATCTAATGTCCCCTCCTGACACACTTTTCTTTGCACTCTGTCTACTCTTACTTTCTCCCGAAATGTTTTAAGTCAAATCATTTGAATATCTAAGGAAAGCAGTCCCAAAAATAATTTCTAACCCTGTTTTTAGAGTAGTGTTCACACATAAACTTATGAAAGTTTGTAGAGCATTTCAGAGGACTGCCCCTGAAATGCTCCTGATCTGGTTGTTCACACATGCACCTCACAGCTGGAGACTATCCCTGTCAGACAGGAGGGGGGGCGGGAGGTCATGATGTAAAAAGAACGAAGCAGCAGAGTCCGCTACACAACGCTATAATGAGAATATGTGTCTTTCTATCAATGCTACGTGTAGTTGAACAGAATCACAATGTGAACTAAAGAGTGGAGAAGAACATACTGGAGAACAGGAAACATAATGCAGCAGGTTCATTAGAGAACAGAGATGGTAGAGGTGGCGTGCAGACAGTCTATGGTCGTGCAGCGATCACAGGGAATAAACGTCACCACCCCCTCCCACTCGCTCCAGGTGAATTCTCCTGATTATATCCTGCTGAGTTCTCACATCAGCTCACTCTGACTTTCTGCAGAATAAATACGAGGAGGCTGGAGGAGAAACTCCGGGTGAAGAGAGAAACATTCAGCTGGTTGTGTTCACACATGACGCTCAGACTGGAAATATCAGGATTTTTTCAGGTGTGAACGAGGCTCATGATTAAAGTGCTGTCCAACAATAACGTTTTACAAAAATTAAAAAGATTCCCGTTCACTTCACATACTCATCATACGATGAAAAAAACAACACACACTAATCCTTTATGATGTGTCGCTGGTGTCACCGCGGTGCATTCACTGGATGACAAACAGTTTTAAACTGAATGTGAACCCCGACCCTCCGACCCTCCGACCCTCCGTCCCTTCGCCCCCCCCAACCCCTCACACGAAAGCTTCACCCTCACATCACTGGCAGCCAATAGATTTGTGGCCTAATCCATCACTTCCCCCTGCAAGCTCGACTGTCCCGGCTCATTGTTAGGAGGCCAGGGGAGGGGAACGACTGTTGACACACCACGCTACCTAACCCCACCTCGGGCAACTCCCATTCAGATACTAATGCTGCACACACGCACCCATGTGCTTCCTTAAATGTACAGCAACATGTCATTGGTGCGTTACATTTAAAGCAGAGAAACGAGCGGTGCTGAACAAACTCTCACCCTCAGGAGTTGATTCTTCATTTGAACTATGTTGGCACTCTCTCTTTTTCTCTGCTGGTTTGAGGAGAGTTTAGCAGAGGCAAGAATAAAGAAATCTGCCTAAAAGCAAGTGCATGCATGTGTGGTAGGACCGAGCCTGCACTAGCCGACTGTGGTGTTTGATGTCGGCTCCATCCCCTCCATGGTTCCTCCAGGCTGTAGTTTCAGAGGAACATGACGCTGGGGGCTTTCTGACCCTTCACCCCCGGACTTCCCATCACTCCCTTGCGTTTGCATTCCTCCACTGGCTTTCTTCAAACGCAGGGTTAAATGTGCAGCATGCAGGAAGAGATTGCTCCGCCTCGGCGGACTCATGATGTGACTTAACGATGTGTTGTTGTGTTTCAGTTTCACAGGGTTGTAGTCGTACGTCGATTAAAGCAGATTCTCTTTGTCCGCCCTGCAGACAACTTCCTGATGATCCCAAAGCAGAATGGAGCGTCTCACTGGTCTCTTCTCTTATTCTGGACCACATCCGGGATCACTCCTTTAACATGGTACGCTTATTCACATCCAAAAGGTTAAAGAATGTACAGTACATCAGGGCGCCGGTGGCTGAGGGCGTGCACCCCATGTACAGAGGCTGTACTCCTCTAAGCGGGCGGTTCAAATCCGACCTGTGGCTCCTTTCCCGCTTGTCATTCCCGACTCTCCCCTCTGTTCTGTCTCTACAGTAAAGCCATAAAAAAAAGCCCCAAAATAAAAAAAAAACAAAATAAATATAAAACAACAACAAGTGTTCAGCTCTGCTCAAAGCATTGTCGTTTTCTGTAAAACCCCCCCCCCCCCCTCGTTTTCCCAGTTTCACTGTGGTCTGCGTAATAACCCCCGTCAGCCGCAGCCTCTTTAGCTCCAGCTCAGACCCTGCTTCGTTGAAATCACAGGAAACGGTCTCTCTGAAAGTTTGGATTCAGTCTCCGTGTTTACAGAGAGATTCTTATCTGCCCTCATTGTGGTTCTGCACTATTAGCTAATGGGAATGTGGGTCATTTAGAATCAAAGAATTCCTATTCGGTCGCTCTGCACATGGAGAGAAGAGAAACGGGGGGAGAAGATGTGGACGTACAGCCGGGTTCTTTTAACGCTGCAGTCGCTGATCTCTTTTTCTTATCAAAGATTATAAACAAACACAGCGTCTCCTCCCATCCTGTCAGGCTCAGCAGAGGAAAAAATACCTCCCGACCAAAAGCTAGGCCTGAAAATCCTCTCCTGGTTTCATCGTCGTTATGCTCAAAACAGAGTGATTCAAACAGAACATTACAAACATGAATCATCCTTACTCTGGATCATTTTATTCTGTTGTTTTTACCTTCTAACAAGACGCCAAGAATGACGCGATTTAAAGTTACCAGTAAGTTGAGGACTTTTAGAGATTGAATTAATGCATAATGGCAAAGATATGGTCATGATAGAAAAGTCCTCCTCCGTAGGAACGGCCAGGTAACTCACAACACGATTCAACACCAAACACATGGCCACGATGCAGCGACTCTGCCACTCTTTATATTGCTGTTACTAAGCTCTGCCTTCATCACGTCTTTGTGCATTCATATTAATTCTGCGATGGCGTGATGTTGGTGTCCCAGTCTGTGAGGTCATATTGCGTTTCACAGCACAGCGGAAGCTCCACATACACACACACACACAGCGCTCTCCTGCTGGTTCAGCTGATCCCGTCTCTCCTCTGTAACGCCTCTGAAGACAGGACAGAGGGGGGGATCACGCCGTCCCCCTGTTACGCCTCCGGGACATTCAGATTGAAGGCGAAACGTAAATATCGCGGCTTCAAGCGGCGGTCTGAACACGGCATAAGATGCATCAGGATATCTGATGAACTGAAGAATCAAAAGTCAAAGTGCAGGATGACAGCAGTCTGGTGTCAGTTATCACGCTTCATCCCTTCACTTCTTTCACCGCTGTCCATCATCATCTCGCTGTCTTCTTCTTCTTCTTCTATTGCTGAGTAGCTTCCCTCGTTCATGCAGGAGGGGCCGCTGTGAGGAGTCATGAGGTAGTGATGTGGTGCGTCCTATTGGCAGGGGAATGGGTTTAGAGTGCGGTATTGATTTGTTGTCCCACCTCTGATTGGTCGAAACAAAGAAAAGGTGGAGTCTGTTCCTTCTCTCCCGTTGACCAGCTTCTTGTTGTTCCTTTGCGTCCTCTGGTGTGCGAGCATGCGCACAGAAAAGCACTTTTAAATATCCGTTGGAAGCTGCCAAGAAGGTCCGCAGTCTCACTCTGAAACCCTTCCACTAACCCACGAGAAGAATTTCGACTTTTGGAGTCTGTGTGTTTAAATTCACTTTTAGATGCCCAGGCTCTTTCTCTCCCACACACTGAGAGAGATTTTGTTGTTTCAGGTGCTGACCTTCGATGGAAGAGGCGTGAGTGGCCACGCCAATCACAGAGCCATCCATAAAGCTGTCAGGTACCGAGTGAACGTTCGTCACAACAGCACACTTTCATGTTTTTAAATCCTCCAGCAGAAAGAAAGATGCCATCCTCTCGAGGTCATTATGTGGCGTACCCATGCAGACTGAGAAGCAGCCGGTTCCAAACTCATAAAACTGTGTCCTGGAATATGCAGAACATTCAGACTCACATCAACATTCATCCTTCCAAATGTTCCCCCACAAGAGCACACACACGCACACGCGCACACGCACACGCACACACACACACACACACACACACACACACACACACACACACACACACACACAGAGCATGTTTTTCAGAGTCGGTCTGTTACATAGCTGAGAGGTCATCCAAACAGAGTCCTCAGAGGCTCTCGGCTTTGCTCCCAGAGAGCTGCAGTAAATCCTGTCCCTGAAGTGGTGAGGTGGGAGGGCAGATCTGTTTTTTTGGAGAGGACAACCGAGCAAGTTTCATCAGACTGTTGGTTTAAAAAAAAAAAAAGGAAAAAAAAAAAGTGTTTTGCACTGTGAAGTGTACTCCGCTGTCCCCATCCTGCACCCGCGCCTTAATTGTCTGCAATGTTAGTCTTTCATGGTCGTCTGTGAGCCTCGTCTGTTGATAAGATGTGAGCTCTCCAAAGTACATCTCATGATTCCCATTAGGCTGGAAGCCAGCGGGGCTGTGCACTCGTCTCACTGCAGCGCCAAATGTTAGTGGGTTTGTTTTAGTCAGCATGTTAAACATCTATTGCATAAAGAAATGGAGGAAAACAAAGTCTCCCCACCAAGACCTGAAGTATAGTGACAGTAGAAAGGTAGAATATGAAATCCTGCTCGATCAGGCAGTCATCAGCGTGACACAAACACAGAAAATGTCCGATATGTAACTGAAGTCTGGCTGCAGCTGAACGAGGCCTGTGTGTGTGGGCGTGCTGTCGTTTACGTCTTCTGTGGTGTTGTAATAAGTCTAAAAAACTAAACATATTTGAAGGTAGAAACGTCAACATGAATACATCCCTGACATTTTCAGTGCTTAACTTTGTTCTTTTCTCCACTTCCAGCCATCTCGCCTCCACTGGACGAATACCAGACGGTAGGTGAAACGTCCGTGATGAGTTCAGGTTAGATTTACTGGTTACTCTCTCCAAACATGTCCGTTTAAGTCTCAAAGTTTAACCAAGCCCACTCAGGCTTCACGAGGTGAGGAAGTACAAAGACACGGAGTAAACATGACGTGCGTTTTAAATGAAATGTACAGACTGCTCAAATTTGACTTAAATATCATGACCTAATGAGAAGCACTGCCTTTGTGGTCACTCTGAGAGACTGAACATGCAGCATGTTTTGTGAGGGCACAGCGCCCTCTACTGGCCGAAGATGTGGCTTGCCTCATGTCTCTCCACCTGGTGGGAACATGTGCTGATGGCTTTGTCATGTGTGCTCCCACTTAACTAAATTTAAGGTTTGAAAATCTGTTTCTTTACGACCCAGAACACCAAATGTCTGCTTAGTTTCTTCCTTTATTCTTTTTTATTCTGATTGGTGACGAATGTCTGAAAACTGTACAACGATGGAGTTGAAAAATGGGAGGTAACTATCATCCAATCAGAAAAGAAACAGGAAACAAAAGATAAACAAAGAAATAACCAGAAAGCAAAGATGGATATGAACCGCCGTTTTTAATCTATCTTTGAGGGAGTGTAGATTCAAACAGGAGGAGTTTATGAGTCTTAATGTGAATCTATGAATCACTCATTACACTGTACCTAACGGACCAATAAGTAACTCTGACTACAATGGGTACTGCAGTCCAAATTAAAAACATTGTAGAGAGCTGTCTGCCCCGCCCCCTCCTCTCTAGAGTCCATGCTCATGCAGGTTGCCATGTGGTGGACACTGAAGCGAGCCCTCTCACACACAGCAGGTGTGTCTTTAAATGCTCTCTTCAGTTATTTACTGCCGGCCGTTCACACCTCACCTGTTGGACCGGTCCCAAAGTGGCCTCCAGGTGAGGCGGCAGAGACTCAGGCCTGATGTGATTATATTAAGCCTCCTCACCTGGCTGAACAGCAAGACTCGCTGCTCATCACTAACCGCTTTAAGCCTCAGCTACAGGACAAAGGTTAAAGCTGAACACTGAGCACAGGGCAGTCTGTGCTTTGTACTATAATCTGAAACTTTTATGAATATAACATCCATCACAGGCTCCTCAACTCCCATTAAGTTGTCCTAAAGTAAACAAGACACTGAACAACACAGATGGGGATTCTGGTAAAAAATTCTGATAAAAAAAATCCCCTCCCCTCCCCTGGTATCTCAACTTATGCACATGTCCGCCATTTTTATTATTGCTTGCGAAGGAGTGATGTCTACTGGGAAAACTCAGGGGGGGCTCATTACATTTAAAGAGACACACACACCATAACGGAGCGTTCTGAGAGAGCTGGTTTCTACAGGGTCACAAACCTCCTCTGGTGCTTGATTCATGTTATATTTTGACCAAAGCACAGCACAGATGTTTCATTTAGACCACAGGGGACTGTTTGAAAAGGTGGAGAAGGGGGATAATATGTCCTCTTTAAGTAATGATCAATCTGGAACAGTGACCTCTTTGTCTGTCTGCCCCTGAGGCGAGTCTTTCACATATTAACAGCTAACTGGCTCTCTGTTGTCTGCTTCCCCCCCCACCCCAGGCTGCTGTTTGCTCTCCCTGCAGACCGTTGGGCTCTTCAGGAAATACATCTCCTTCCTGGAGCTTCCCGTCAGCTGGCTGCTGCCCTCGAGTCTCAGCTGTGTTATCGGCTCTCAGGGCTACGTACGAGCCAGGGTAATTAAAGAGGACTGAATCCAAACTCCAAATAGAGCGGGCGTATGGGGGAAATGTATCCAAGTACAACATGGACAGAAGAGTCAAGGGATTAACATTTAAAACCTGAAGCCTAATGTTAGTGTTCTGGATCAACCAGAGAAACACAAGAGAGAAATGTTCCTTTAAGTAAGTTTAAAAGGACTTAAATAGACGAGCTGTGAAACAAGAAGTTCTCCTTTTTGGGCTCTTTTGAGGAAACCGAACTTGACACTTTCATACTCTCAATAGACGTCGTCATTACCCAAACATCGCTAAAAACTACACAGAGAAAGAACATGACAGTATTGGAATAAGTAGCTACAGGCATAAAATACACAAAGCAGGCAGGACAGACGAGAAGCAGCTTTAGACAAACATTACAAACGTCCGTGACGTTACACAGGTTTTAGTAAATGCATGCAGACAGTAGCCTTCTAAAGAATATGTTACGTGCAAATATGAGCATCATGCAGGCAACGATCAATCATAAAATAAACACAATTCACATGAGGAAACATGAGACACACTGAGTGAGCTACAGCAGGACATCAGGCGTCATTAAGTTATAAAGCACAGGACAGATTCACAGACAGCCGGACACAAGGGGGCAGTAGCGGGATGTTGTTCCAGTCTCCTGAGAAAAGGCTGACTGACTGAAAGCCCCTCTCCTTCCCCCGGTTCTCATGCTTTGTGTTTTGTTTTTAAATTGTGTTAATGTGAGAGCAGTACGAGTGCTAGACGATGCAAAACAATGCACGCAAACACAGAACATGGAGTAGGACAGACTTCAACAAAGACGTAAAACTTGATGAACACCACTGATGGTGATTTGATGCCAGGATGGAGGGAGAGGCTGGGGAGGGTGATTGTCCCATTTGTCTCTGGTCGGATTCTGCAACAGCCTGACCCTCAGAAGAGGACTTGCTAATTGAAGGACCCTGCCAGTTTCAAGTGTGTTTGTTCTCTGAGTGGGCTGGGCGAGGAGTTAGAGGAACCTGGCCAATAAGCCGACTCTGATGAAGCATCAGACTTTGACATCTATGGGCTGTGAAATGACTTCTGACATTTGAGCTGATTGAACCTCTCAACCCTCTTCTTCTTCTTCTACAGGAGGCCATGTTCTGCCATCGCTCTCAACTCCTGTGGTTTCGTCACCTCTACGTCTTTTTCTCTCGGTACATGTTCATAAACACTTTCCAGACGATCCCACAAGGACCCAAGAATCTGAAGATTTACTGAATCATCTCACCGTCACACACTGAATGTTACACTGATCCCTGTTACTGTGTCCTACGGTTTGTCTGATGAATACTGCGGGAGGATGGAACAAAAAAAACATTTTGTAATGAAAACAGTCAAAGTTTAGAACGTTTCAATACCACTAATTTAAATTTTTTAAAGCTTTTTTTCACCAGCGTTTCCGCTCTTTTGAAAGTGGACCTTTTGTTATTAAAGACCATGTCACATAAAGAGCTGACTGTCTCACTGTGAGGCATCTAGAGATGATTCAGTGGACTCCTTCACGCTGGCAGGATCCACAGAAAACACTGGAGCAAGGACATTTATTAAGGAGCAAAAGGACAAACGTTAGGACACTCACTGCGTCTTCCTCAGACTCAAAAAGAGACGAGGAAGACGCAGTGCTCGTCCTGGCCTTGCTCCAGTATTGTTTTCTTTCCTGCCCGTGTGAAGGAGTCCATTGAGTCATCTCTTTAACATCGGATGTCCTTCTCTGAAGCGAGAGAGATTCCCTCTTCTCTTAAACTGTAGTGTGAGTGAATGTAGTGGCTGTTTACACATGGCCGAAGCTGATTTGCTCACAGGGAACAAAGATTTCTTGCAAGCCCTTTTCAGACTGCTTTCTGCACAAAAGTGCCGTAACTAAGCTCAGCCGTCATTACAAATTCGTATTGGTTCTGCAGCAGTGTCATATTCTCGTCCCAGTCTGTGAGGTCACATTGCATTTCGCTGTTGTAGAAGCAGAGAGCACAGCGGGAGCTCCACATACACACACACAGTCAGACACACACACACACACAGCGCTGCACTCCCCCGCGGACTCAGCTGATCTGGTCTCCTGGTGCGTTGGATCTCGGAAGTCGGAATCTGTGTTACAGCTCTGATACATCATCAGGAACGCCCCCTTAATTCAGAATTCTGACTTGTAAACTCTGAGAACCTTCAGTAGCCCAAGTTCAAATCCAACATGGCCGCTCTGCTCGGCGCATCAACAGTAACAATAAACATTTAACATTTCTGTTTATCAGAAAATTAGTTTCTCTTTTAGTGTCATTAAATCGATCACACCGATAGTATCATGTAAGTTCTATCTATGAACGTGTTGTCATGTTATGTTTTTGCACAAACATATCGTCTGGGAAAAGCGAACATATCAAAGGTACTCCATGTTGCTTGTCTAATTTGCAACTGCAACGCGGCTCTGACATCAGAGGTAAATGGAACGCACCGTTAGCCCCCGCCTCTGTTACTACCTCTGAAGGTGGCACAGAGGAGGGATCACCCCCCCCCCCCCATAACACTTCTGCAGCATTCACATTGAATGTGGAACGTCACAGGGTGTAAATATTGCGGCTCAAAGCGAACAGTCTGAACAGGGCTAGCTAAAGCAGCCTGGAGATATTTTCTCCACTTTTGATAATGAAGCTGACAGAAACTTGTAAACGTGACAGAGAAGCTTTTTATTGTCTTCAGTCGTGACACTGTAAATATGAACCAACACTAAAGATTGTTGAAATGACCATGTACCATTTCTCTGATGTCCTGCTGATTAAAATATGTTTGATTCTCTATCACAGGAAGTGTGTCTGTGATTCTCTCAGCTGTTATTCTGGTCCTCTCAGCTGTTATTCTGGTTCTCTCAGCTGTGCGTCTCTGCTGGAGGACCTTTCTGAACAGGTTTGGACATGTCTCTGATGGTCTTGTGACTTTGCATAGTTTCCTCCCACTTCTCTCCGTCAAACTTCTCCACCGTCACGCTGCGGACAGTCCCTGGATCTAAACAATGTGGGGCAACACCTAGAGAGACAAAGACAACAACATGATTTTAAGGTGTTTTCCTTTACAGCAGAGTCGTCTGCTCGATGTCTCTGTCATCCATCATCGCCCGTTAACCTCCCAATGTTGTTGTGACAACAACATTTCTGTTTATAACATAAACAACAATACGTGTGTTTAAAGAGCCGACTGAGCAGGTTAGTTTGGAGTAAACACTGCTCTGTGATGAATTCTGTTTACAGCACAGGGAGGATAGTGTGACAGCTCATACCATATCCATCGGGGTTGGAGCGAGGAGAGTAGAAACTTTGTACCCCGCAGGTCTTACAGAAGGTGTGTTGAGCAACGTGGGTGTTGAACGTGTACGTGGTTAGATTCTCTGACCCCTGGAAGAGAAAAAGAACATCAAACACACACTCACTTAAAGCGCTTTAAACTTGAATGTTTGAGAAATCTGAGGCTTTTGTTTGCTACCTGCAAGATTTTGAAGCGACTCTTCGGGACAATGAAGTGACGGTTTTGTTTCTTGGTGCAGACGCTGCAGCTGAAGAACAAAAAGGAGCGACTCAGTTACAGCCCTTTACTTTAAAAAGCATCAAAATCCAGCCTGTGGCTCCTTTCCTGCATGTCATTCCCCTCTCACTCTCCCTGATTTCTGACTGTGATGCCCTGACGACCTTTATTTTGTAGTTTAAGGTTTTATTTTGAATTGAATGAACATACTTGCAGTCAAAAACATGGAGGTCTGGCGAGCTCCAGATTTCAAATCTGACCGCTCCACAGTGGCAGCCGCCTGAATGTTTGACCAGATCCATTCTATAGGAACAAAGCACACCACACATCACAATGAAACACTCATTATTAGCAGTGTTAGGAGGATTGGAAGTCTTTGTTCAATCACTTCAACGTCAACATGAGACAACACTGATTAAGAAACTCTTGGAGCAAAAACTTGGAGCAAAAACTGGAGTGAAACCGGTGTGATGTGTTGTTGTGTAACCTGTTGACGTGGAACTGAGCGTCCCGTCCAAGCCTCTCTGATCACCCTGCCTGAGAAAACAACCCAAGACGAGAGGCACATTTACTCAGCTAGTAACGCCTTTGAGAGCTATCAGAGTGTTCTTTAATCATCAGAGGTGTGTACCAGGTTTGTGTCTTTTCATGTGCTGATTCACTCAACAAGGTCTTTGTCTTTCTCAGGAGGTTGTTTTCCCTGAAACACTGAGTCAGGTCGTAATGATTCCCAGCAAAGGGGCCGGGCAAAGTGCAGCCATCAGACTTACACAAACACATTCCTCAGAGGCTGAACTGGTTCAGCCAGACGCCTGGCTCTGTGTTGGAAAGTGCTGCGTGCTGCATCACGAGATGGGTGTCATGTGACAGCGTGCTGCAGGGGTGGGGAAAGGGAGTGCTGTGACCTAAATACATAACTAAGGACGTTGAGACTGCTATCATATCTGTGACCCTAAAATAGGATCCCAGTAGGGTAGAGACTATCATCTGAGCTTTTACCCTTTCTATTGTAGCCCACCCTGTTACAAACCAGCTCTCTGTAAGGGAAGAGTCCAAGTTTGACCAAACTGAAAACTTTACATACTCTCCAAAGTCTGTGAGGGGAACAAGAACAGAACTGTAGACCACTGACTCAGATCTCAGTAGGGCTGAACGAGAGTGGAAAAAACAGTCATTGTGATATTATTACTGTCAGTGATATGAAAAAAAGTTAGGTCTGTTCATCACAATTAATCTCATACTATTTTGTCCCTTCAGGCTCCCCGTAGATAGTGGTCCTCAGTGTCTCCCTGTAGTCTCAGTGATGTAAAAGAAGGACACTGCTGCTTCTTTGAATGTCTCATTTCACTTTAACAAACTCTCAGACAGCTCAGCTGACGAGTCCAAAGTAATATCCACCTTATGACATCACACATTGACCTTTGTTACCGTTCCTTCCAACTTAAAATTCATCATTTCCAAATGAAAACACGAGTCTGACTGACTTCATCAATTAACTGGAGCATAAAATCTCATTTAGTGTTTAACTTTGAAGGCTTTCTAGCCTCACCTGAGCCTTAATGTATATCCAATGTAGACTTATGCTCCCTCCTGAACAAGCGCAAGACCTTGCTTGACTTAAGATTGACAGATAATTATTCCTTTAACACTCAGCATGCCTTCAGGTAGCGTCAAGACCACCACGGATCGGCTATTTTTCCATGTCATTTCGCTGATTAGAAGGAAATGCCTCTTTCTAAAAGAACAAATAACGGACACAACCTTCCCGGTGTTACGGTCTAAGTTAGACACACGCCCCCTAAACACAAGATGATGATTTTTCAGAGATATTTATGGTCTTGGTGTTGTCTTAGTCTCGGTTAGTGTGGTCTAGACTACAACACTACCTTCAGGTTAACTCAAAGTGTAACTAAAGAAAGATAGAAACCAGTCTAACAGACCTACATTTCGGGGTTAGTCTCGTGGTTAGTGCCAGCCCATGTACAGATGCTGCAGGTTCGAATCTGAATCCTTTCCCGCATGTCACTCCCCACTCTCTCTCTCCCTGATTTCTGCCTTTATCAACTGTCCTGTCTCTGAATAAAGTCACAGAAAACAACAACTTTGAAATCAGTGGAGCTGTTCAAAGTAACATGTCTACAAAGCTAGGGAGAAATCCTTTATGTAATGTAAGGAAACAAAATGTCCAGTGACTATGTCGTGTCTTGTCTATCATTGTAAACATTTTGTGCTCCATGATAAGCAGAATTAGACAACACAACTTTTACTAACTTAATATTTCATCAAACTCTGAACATGTGATGACGAGTCAGATCTGACTCTTCTTCACCTCCAGAGAAGAAAAAAGCAGATTCTTCTCATTTCAGCCTCACTCAAGTTTCTTCAGGCTAACACCGCGGTAGAGGCAGCTGCAGGGAGACATTTCAATACCAGTGTGCTAACAGCACAGTCTGAGCAAATCTGAGATTAATTTCAGAGCTCTATGAGATCTTTTTCTAAACTAAAAAGGAGACGGAGTTGAGATTCTGAGCACAATTTTTGTCTGTGGGCCGCTCATGCTGGAGGGGGCAGGTCGTGGAACAGGTCGCTGTCTTAAGGAACCTGGGTCACTGAGATCCATGACTACCACCTGTCCTTCACAGAGCATGTAGATTGCCTCTACAAGAAAGACCGACAGCGCATGTTTCTCCTGAGGAGGCTGTCAGAGAGGACGATTTAACAACTAATTGAACCACTCCTCATATTCAGCATCCTGTCCTGGTATAACTTTCCCACTGAAAAATGCAGGAAAAAACATCAAACATGCAGCTAAAATCACCGGCACCACCCAAATCCAACTCTCAGGACTTTGCAGCCGTGCAGCTGTAAAGTCACCACCCGTGTCGCCGCCCTTTCAGAGTACCCTTGTCCAAAAAAGAGACATATTTTATTCCCACTGCAAAATGCATTTAAACATGGCTAGAGAAACATGACTTATAAATGTGCTTTGCATCTGCCATGTTGCCATTAAACACCTTGACAGGAAAAGCGATACCTTTAGGCTGAGCAAATACAGCCTCTGTCTCATCACTTCCAGGATTCAGGACTCTGACCAGGAAGAGGACACGTTGAAAATAAAATAAACTTTGTCCCCTCGGCTGTTGGAGCTCTTAACAAGCTGCCACGCTGACTGTTGCCTTGGCTGCTTTTGATTACTGTTTATGTGTTACTTCCTGTGTTCTTCTTATTTATCTGTGTACCAACTGTGCAAAGGATGTGAAGACAAATTGTGTGGTTGTTTTTATGTCGTTTGAGCCTCTAACCAAAGCTGATTTTCTGTCATGATAGACAATAAAGTTTAGTTTTAAATCTTGAAGCAGGAGGAATAAGCCAGTCTCATTTATCTTTGTCTGTTCCTCTCATATAACACCTGCCATGTTAATTAAGGTCAATGAATCAACACCTTAATAAGAAACACTATACCTTTAAGCTTACCAAATATGGCCTCTCTCTCAAACATCACTTTTAGTATTAAGGTCATGACTTTACAGCCATGTGGTTATGACTAGACTTCAGAGCGATGCTTGTCAACAGGCAAGGCAGGCAACCGCTCAGGGCCTTATTCCTGCATTATTCACAGCATTATTCCTGTGAAACCCAAAATGTATCAATTAAGAAAAATGAAGAGGAGTTATCTGTGTGGGGGTGGAAAAAGAAAGTGTAAAATTCATTGGAGCCCCCAATAAATCTTTGCCCAGGGCCCCAACAGACCCTAGAATCGCCCCTGCTAGACTTCATTTGTTATCTACCAAAAGAATAAACAGTATCAGCTAATTCTGCTTTTTAAATTAGGTATGATGAAGCAGGAGTGTTAAGTTCGGCTAAACTTGATGTGTGAATAGAGAGAGAAAGAAATAAATGGGGTCAGTATAAGCAGGGTTCCTCCTGTCCTACTTTCCCCGGCTTGACAACAGCTGTTAGCACATGTTTACTAAGCACGTTTCCACCTGTTAACAACAGACACGTTTGTTGGAGGTCAACCGAGTTCCTGTCTGATCACGACCCCTCTGCATGTCACGTTAAATCATAGTCACGACTTCCTAATGTTACAATAAGCATGATACTGTACTTCGTAGAGGAAAGGGGAAATGCTTGTTACGAAAGATTCAGTTTAGGAGAAGACATTGTTATAAAGTTACAAGACTTTTACTCGGTATTTAGGTCGAATCTCTGTTATAACACCAAAATCATAAACGATACCAAGCCCTTACTTACTGTAACACGGCAACCAATCGCAGGCCAAACAAACAATTCGTTCACCCAATCAGAAGCTCAAGGAGAGATCTCGTTGCTACCATGGTTCTAGAAGATTCTCGAGCCCGATTCTAGTGTCGTATTAATCCGCCGCGTAGGATTTGTCAAAATATCACGTTCAAGCCTATTATTTTATAAAATTTAGATTATATTTGATAAAAAATGACGTGACGGGTTTATAAATATGCCCTAATAGTTAATAGATTGTGAATGTAAACTTTATATGGGAGAAGTACGCTTCGGATCTGTAGGAACTACTTTCAAATGCGGACGGATATTGGGGGATGACGTGTGCAGACGCCGCTATATATAGAGTGTTTTGTCTGTGGTGCAGTAGACATCGTCCACGAAAGAGACGGAAGCATAACTGCGCAAGCAAGAAACTCGATATTTACTGCGTCTATCGACAGTAAGTGCTGTTATTATTCTTTTTATGTTGATGAAATAGCTGTTCTTATCGACAATGGGTTTAAATTTTAAGTTGTATAGCTTGGTCGCTGCCCAGAAGCTTTATAGTTAGCTTCAGACGATTGGGAAAAACCGATAACTCGGAAATTATTCTCAAATTGTCATTTAAATTTGGTGAAAACATTATCCCTGCAGATTTCGGGCGTTTTACACGGTGATTTCGATGGTTAACGTCGAGCTATTTGTTACCGTGTTCGACGTCAGCTGTAGTGTTAAGCTAATGCTAGCGATAGCAATGACTCGACATTTCGAGTGCGTCCATTATCTGATGACGTCAGCTGAACAAAAGGAAGGTCAAAATGATCTCAAAATGGCGCTCGCTCCATATTTTCTACCAAGCTATCTGTTATGATGATTTGACCCTTCATTTAATGTTTAATTTAACTTTATTAATAATTTAAAATAAATCTAGTAATATTGTCTGATGTAAAGCAACAAGCCATACAAATGTATATCTAATGAATTGACTTAAGCTGAAACAATCTTAATACAATTTTATTGACTATTAATTATTCTAGCTCTAACTGTATGTAAATTAATTTACTTAATTACTTAAATCAGTTGTCAGTAATTTATATTTTATGTACTTTTTATCTACATAGGTGAAGAAAAAAATGCAGATCTTTGTGAAGACCCTCACTGGCAAGACCATCACCCTTGAGGTGGAGCCAAGTGACACCATTGAGAATGTCAAGGCAAAAATCCAGGACAAGGAGGGCATCCCCCCAGACCAGCAGAGGCTGATCTTTGCCGGCAAACAGCTGGAAGATGGCCGCACCCTCTCCGACTACAACATCCAGAAGGAGTCCACCCTCCACCTTGTTCTGCGTCTGAGGGGAGGCATGCAGATCTTTGTGAAGACCCTCACTGGAAAGACCATCACCTTGGAGGTGGAGCCAAGTGACACCATTGAGAATGTCAAGGCCAAGATCCAGGACAAGGAAGGCATTCCCCCAGATCAGCAGAGGCTGATCTTTGCCGGCAAACAGCTGGAAGATGGCCGCACCCTCTCCGACTACAACATCCAGAAAGAATCCACCCTCCACCTTGTCCTGCGTCTGAGGGGAGGCATGCAGATCTTCGTCAAGACCCTTACCGGTAAGACCATCACCCTAGAGGTGGAGCCAAGCGACACCATTGAGAATGTCAAGGCCAAGATCCAGGACAAGGAGGGCATTCCCCCAGATCAGCAGAGGCTGATCTTTGCTGGTAAGCAGCTGGAAGACGGCCGCACCCTCTCCGACTACAACATCCAGAAGGAGTCCACCCTCCACCTTGTCCTGCGTCTGAGGGGAGGCATGCAGATCTTTGTGAAGACCCTCACTGGCAAAACAATCACCCTGGAGGTGGAGCCAAGCGACACCATTGAGAATGTCAAGGCCAAGATCCAGGACAAGGAGGGCATTCCCCCAGATCAGCAGAGGCTGATCTTTGCTGGTAAGCAGCTGGAAGATGGCCGCACCCTCTCCGACTACAACATCCAGAAGGAGTCCACCCTCCACCTTGTCCTGCGTCTGAGGGGAGGCATGCAGATCTTCGTCAAGACCCTCACTGGCAAAACAATCACCCTGGAGGTGGAGCCAAGCGACACCATTGAAAATGTCAAGGCCAAGATCCAGGACAAGGAGGGCATTCCCCCAGATCAGCAGAGGCTGATTTTTGCTGGTAAGCAGCTGGAAGATGGCCGCACCCTCTCCGACTACAACATCCAGAAGGAGTCCACCCTCCACCTTGTCCTGCGTCTGAGGGGAGGCATGCAGATCTTTGTGAAGACCCTCACTGGCAAAACAATCACCCTGGAGGTGGAGCCAAGCGACACCATTGAGAATGTCAAGGCCAAGATCCAGGACAAGGAGGGCATTCCCCCAGATCAGCAGAGGCTGATCTTTGCTGGTAAGCAGCTGGAAGATGGCCGCACCCTCTCCGACTACAACATCCAGAAGGAGTCCACCCTCCACCTTGTCCTGCGTCTGAGGGGAGGCATGCAGATCTTCGTCAAGACCCTCACTGGCAAAACAATCACCCTGGAGGTGGAGCCAAGCGACACCATTGAGAATGTCAAGGCTAAGATCCAGGACAAGGAAGGCATTCCCCCAGATCAGCAGAGGCTGATCTTTGCTGGCAAGCAGCTGGAAGACGGCCGCACCCTCTCCGACTACAACATCCAGAAGGAGTCCACCCTCCATCTTGTCCTGCGTCTGAGGGGAGGGCAGTAAAGCCATTCAAATGATTCCATGTTCTTAACGTTATTTCCTCAAAGTTTACGTGCTATGTATGAAATGTTCTACATGCCCTGTTATGAAAATGTTACAAGTGAAAAACGACATGACCAAACGTTTAATGCACATCACTTAATAAAACTTTAAACTGAACTTCCTGGTGTTGTTCCTTCATTGTTTAGTACTATTTATCAGCAGAGAATACTGATTGGTTTAATATGGTTGTCAGTAAAGTAATCAGTTATTAACTTTAGAGGGATGAATGTGGTTTATTATGGTGGGGGGGCAGGTAACTATTTAGTAGTTGTTATTCTCTTCTCATATGTTTATCAGAGGCAGATTTAGAATATGAAAGTACTGAAATATCATTTATGAATTTGGCAAGCTCTTTGACAAAATAATTACTTACACATTTATTTTAAAGCTGTACCAAGTTTATGATTTCAACTATATAAAAACCAGAACATGTCCCTTGTTTTGAAGTTTAGAAACAGTAGAAAAAGAAGCATACTCAAGTGCATGACCACAAGAAATAGAAAAATGCATGCTCAATGTCTTGAAACATTGTAGAGTAACAGCAGCTGTTTCACCAGCAGTGGTGACAAATTTAAAATACTAATTCTGATAATAAACATCCATATTGCTTTTGTAGTTTTCATATCTAATACTACTGCCATGTGTATAAAAGCCAACAATACAGTAAATAAAATACCTTTACATCAATTTGTACTCTTTGAATATATATGGGAATAATTAAAACTCTAATCCGGGTATTAAAGGGGACTAGAACTCCTGAGCAGTCAGAAGAAAAGTCTGCAGAACACTGGAGAGGTGTAGAGTTGATATGAAAGGGTATGTGGCGCCATCTACTGTCAAGCAGCCAGACAACATGTTACCAAGGAGACAAGGCTGGGCTGATGTTCACTAATCTTCAAAGATGGGATACAGGAAGTGTAAGTTGATGATCTCTGATTCGAGGAAATCATCCCTTTGTTCTTTTGAATCCCAAAGGTTCAGTTTGAGGTGTTTTGGTTACATGCATCCTCCCTAATAAGGAAAGAACATCTCTCTACGGGATGAAACGAAGGATTCAAGGACCACAGGTCGGTAACGAGCTGGATGATATAATAAAAATGTCACATTATTTTCTGAAATCTCAAGAAGAACTTAAAGAAGCAGCTGTTACCAATACATGATTCACTGATGTTATGGTCAGTGGCAATCACAGAGTCTTTTGGGGCCCCTATAGGCATAGAAATTCAACGAGGGCCCCTCCAACCAGCATTCCTCGTGAAAAATTATGACGATGCGTTTGTCAGCGCAGGACGGGATGACGTCATAAGTATTATTTTGTGTTAAAGATTTATCCTTGGGCCTTCTGTTCCTTCACTGGAGAGAGAGGACAGTGGATACAGTCAGAAATCAGAGAGGGGGGGGGACGCAGGACAGGATCCACAGGTCTGACCCGAACCCGGCCACCTGCCTGAAGGACCCCAGCCTCTGTAAATGGGGCGTGAGTACTAACCACTGCACCACCAGCACCCCATGTTGTGAGTACTCTGACACAGGAAACGATACTGTACAAATGGTGTGGGCAGAGTCTGTGTTTATTTCAGTTACTCCCAGACAGATTACTCCCCTTGGTTTTCCTTTGGTGACTTTCAAACTAAGGGGGCCCCGTTAGGGAGGTTTCTTACTGTCATTACAAACTTTGCACATTTTGAGCCACTGCAGATTTAAAATAAGGGTTTTACAGTCCTTAGGAGCCCCCTTCTGGCCCAGGGCTCAATATAATCATAATGTGTGATGTTATATTGGACGCACACGTTATCAGCTAAGATATTTTAGTTTAGTTTTTGGGACTTCAGGGGCTCTGGGGTATTGTGTATTTACAAAATTAACTAGAATACAATTAAATTAAAGACAAAATTTTCTATAAGAAATAAGATATTTTTTCTCCCTCTTGTTTTTGTCTTTTTCTGGTTAAACTTTATTGAAATATGGAAATGTACAAAGAGTCAGACAAGGCAGTTTACAAAAGGACATTAAGTACAAGGAAACCCCTAAACCTTAATAATTCCCAATTAAATAATTTAACTGATGGACTCATAAATTGAAATCATTGACATTGATTTTGCTGTTTGTAACTAATACAATAGACTCAAAAAAGCATGTTAAATCAGTCAGAAAAAGCTTAAAAGGAGGGAGTAAAACTAAGAACTTTGGCCTTCAGAACAATACATACGATAATAAAATAAATAAGTTGACAATGGCAGACAGTTTTTTTTATTTTACATGTGAAATAAGTGAAAAAAATATTTTATCTCCGATGTTTATCGCTTCTTTAATAGGAACTATTTTCAATTGCGGATGAACACCCTTCGATGACGTGTGTCCGGTATAAAATCATCCCGTCGTCCTGGCAACCGTACAGTCAGAGAGAGAGACACATCGCAGGGGAAAAATAGGTCAAGAAGATACTGAGTCAAACTGTAAGTACATTCTGCGTTAAAACTCAAAACAATGACGAAAATGTCGATGTTATTAACGATACTGTTGTCTGCTTAAGTTGTTTAACCAATTTACGGCTTTCTTCCCGGTTTTCGGGGGCCGGTTTGCCGCTCGTAAACAACGACAACGAAGGCCAAAAAAAACAATAGCATATTTTTAAAATGGCGGCGGTGCTCGAATCACCGGCCCCCTACCAGTTTGTCCAAGACTACAAGTCAGTATTTTCGCGTTTTGTCAGAAGAAATAACTATTACACACATCATATGAACGTAATTTCAACAATTTAAACGAGCTAACCGTAAAAGATAGACCTGGCAAGAAGAAGTAATTTATTTTGTATTCATGGGGTGTTGTAAATGTTTATAGCCCTGTGAATTAAATTAGTTTGATATTTGTCAATCCCTCCCGAGGGCCTGGACCTGGTAATTTACCTGATGATCATTTATACCAATGTACGATGACTTCCCCTTCATGAGCAATGGTGGTTTGAGAGATAACAGAAGTGCTTCTGTTGTCTTTTTCACCCTATATCATTAAAGGGTATTTGTAACATGATAATAAAATGATAATTCTCACAGGTCCAAACATGCAGATCTTTGTGAAGACCCTCACTGGCAAGACCATCACCCTAGAGGTGGAGCCAAGCGACACCATTGAAAATGTCAAGGCCAAGATCCAGGACAAGGAGGGCATTCCCCCAGACCAGCAGAGGCTGATCTTTGCCGGCAAGCAGCTGGAAGATGGCCGCACCCTCTCCGACTACAACATCCAGAAGGAGTCCACCCTCCACCTTGTTCTGCGTCTGAGGGGAGGCATGCAGATCTTCGTCAAGACCCTCACTGGTAAGACCATCACCCTGGAAGTGGAGCCAAGTGACACCATTGAGAACGTCAAGGCCAAGATCCAGGACAAGGAGGGCATTCCCCCAGATCAGCAGAGGCTGATCTTTGCTGGTAAGCAGCTGGAAGATGGCCGCACCCTCTCCGACTACAACATCCAGAAAGAATCCACCCTCCACCTTGTCCTGCGTCTGAGGGGAGGCATGCAGATCTTTGTGAAGACCCTCACAGGCAAAACAATCACCCTAGAGGTGGAGCCAAGCGACACCATTGAGAATGTCAAGGCCAAGATCCAGGACAAGGAGGGCATTCCCCCAGATCAGCAGAGGCTGATCTTTGCTGGTAAGCAGCTGGAAGACGGCCGCACCCTCTCCGACTACAACATCCAGAAGGAGTCCACCCTCCACCTTGTCCTGCGTCTGAGGGGAGGTCAATAGTTGGTACCATGTTTTCAGCTGAATTACATGACAACCTAAAGAAATAAAAGTGGACCGACTAAGTTATACTGTGTGTTACCTGTTTTTGTTGCATTCACCTCTTTAATTTAACACATTTGACTAAAATCTTCATCCTGTCTGCTCAGTGTAAATAGAGACGATGCAGACATATCGCCTACATGTCTGTGTCCAACATCCCAAACTGTAACTGTATGTTTTAGAAAAGGTATATTTTACATTTATTTCAGTGTTTTATATCTGAAGAGAACAGATGTTCTTTTAAAGGTAACTCTAAAATGGACTTCAGCTCCATGCAGACAGGAGTGTTGAATAGAAATAATGTGACACTGAAGTTAGCTGGGTGGCCATTTTTGTACTACTAATCTAAAATTTGAAGACTTGCAGCCCCCTCACTCAGAAGGCAGATATTATGGCATAATGTGGAGTATAGCTTTCCTGTCGACAACGATATCAAGCCTGTCTGTCAGTTTATTGAAAATCTGAGAGGGTACATAAAGGCCACAGAGTCCTCATAGTCACAGACATTACAACATAATTCATGGTTGCTTAATTTCTCTGAAGAGGAGATTAGGCTGGCTTACCTTTGAGTTCTTTCTAAATTGTTCCTGGAGGTCGGTTTGTGAAGTTACTGACCCTCTGTTAAACCAGGAGCATTTATAGATCTACACATTAACAGATCTAATATTAAAAGTCATCAACTCTTTATAATGACATCCTGTCAACAGAGAAACCTTGTGACTTACAAGTCTGTGAACGATTGTCCAAAACCCTGTGAGCTCTGGACTCTGAATCCTGGATGATGTTAAATCAGTTACTCATAAAGCTGTATATAAGGGATGTAATGTTCCTTTTATCCACAAGGTGGCGCTATCTCTCCAGCTCTCCATCGTCAGGATCATAAAAGCCTTTACTTCCGTGTGTACTCTGGGGAGAGTGCAGATCCAGCTCGATTTGTTTTGTTCCTTATTTCATAAACTTGTTAATCTGACAGAGCTCATATAAATCTCATAAAGCAGCTGCTGTGCACAGCTGGGCTGGTGATCGCAATTTATCTCTGAATTTCAATATTTAATCGCATGTTGGAAATTCAATTATTCACATTTAAAAATATAAATTGGCTTTTATTTTGAATTTTTGTACTGTCTTTAGCTGAGAGTACTTTACTTGCTGTGTGCTTTAATTTTGAAATAAGTAAGGACATTCTGGTAGACGGAAGGTTAAGACATTAATTTGAGCACAGAAAAAGGAAGTGGTTATAGTCCTCCAGGCGGGCAGCCCAGGTTCAAGTCTGATCTCCGGCTCCTTTCCCCACTCTCTCTCTCTCCCCAGATTTCGTACTCCATCCTCTCTCCCGTCTAAATAAAGGCGAAAAGCCCCCAAATAAATCATAAAGTCAATGAACAAGCGCTATAATGTAAACAGAAGTTATGTTATTAAAGGCACAGTATGTAAATTCAGCCACCAGGGGGCTCTCAATCAAAACAATAACAAAGGATGACATCGAGGCTAGCCCCCGATGAAAATGACCTCCAAGTTGACTGTAGTCAGCGGTCTTTGTGGTAACAGCCGGTGTTTCCATGGCAACGATAAACATGTCGTGCCTGTCATGGCGGCCGCCGCGACAAGACACGTCTCGTTACAACTCTGAAATGTGTTACAGCTCGACGAGCGGCATTCAGTCGTTTACTTTTATTTTGAATCTTCATTATCTGCTCCACTGTCCTGCTTTCTTTTCACTTCACTACAGAATATTTGTACCTTACGTTCACATTTTTAAACATCTTATTAATGATGTTTCACATGTTTCAGACACTGCTCGTCTCCGTGTGTCAGGACTTAGTTTTTGTTCTCCTTTTCTCCACGAGTTTAGAGTTAATTTGTTCAAAGTGCACAGGAGGACACAGGGATTCACATTTCACAAAGCAATAAAACTGGATTTACAGGATAAAAACTTTACAGGAAGCATAAAACTTAAACCGCCGCTCGCTCTCCACTGGACGCTTTTTCATTTTTGTTATCTTTCTTCTACATCTGTCTCTCTTTCTATGACACTGTTTGCTAAATCGAGGTTGATTTCATACAAACTTGTGTCTCTCCTACAGGAGCATAAACAATTGTTTCACACTCAGGTAGCTCGTGGTCAGTCTACCTGTGATGGTTATGACATCATGACATGTAATGATTACCTCTGAAACAAACTATTGAGCTCTAAGGTGCACATTAAGGGTGCCTCTTTCATTTACCTGCCCGTGGTGTTTGAGTGCTTGAGATTGGTGTTGGCCTCAAGACCGGTCTGCAGACCCCTTTTTGAAGGTCTCGGTCTCGTCTTGGAATCAAAAGCATGTTTACTCAGTCTCTGACTGGGCGGACTCTGGATTTTTACCGGTCAGGAACACGACTGATTTGGTATTGTTACTTCCCACGTCATCACTGTGATGAGAAGGAACTCACCATTTCCTAAAAAAACTGATCACTTCAGTTCATTTGTGGTTTGATTTTTATCTCCTTGTTACAGCCACACCCTTCTTGGTGTTACGTGTGACCGACCCCCTGCACACAAGATAAAGATTTTGCGTTGATATTCATGGTCTTGGTCTTGTCCTGGTCTCTGAGCGCTCTGTTCTTGGGGATGTCTTGGTCTGGGTCTTCTTGACTACAACAGTACCTGCCCGTCCTTATCACCCTTCTGCACGGCCCTGCTGTTACACATTAAACATGCATACTGTAGTTAGTTCTCTAAATGGAAGATAAATGCAGAAACCTTATTTTTATTATTAATTGTTTTTAATTATAAATCAATACCAGCTTAAGTAAGTTAGGTGATTAAAAGCTCATAATGAATCTACATCTACACAGGACTTATCGTTAAAACTGCTGCTTGATAAAGTTTTGTGAAGCTCCAGGTTTAATACTGCAGTTACATTTCCTCCCATGCCTCTCGTATTGTTTTATAGCAGTCTTTGTTCTGGGTGTACACAGCCCCTGTCTGTGTCCCTGTCTGTGTCTGTGTGGGTCTGCCTGCCTGACAGTGAAGCAGTGGATCATATGAGCTGCGAGCTGCTGAGCGCCTCATCGTGCAGGAGACATGGCAGGCTGGGGAGCCTTCTTCGTTTCTCTCCTCAACTACAAGACGGAGAAATATGTCATCGCCGAAAACAGGAAGATCGGGATTTTATTCAGACTGTATCAGCTGGCGGTGTTGGGGTACATAATCGGGTAAGCAGCGGCAGCAGCAGAGCCGTTTAGAAAGTGATTCACACAGTTAAAAATAGTGCAGCTGAAAGTGAAGCGGTGACTTTGTTTCTGTTGTGGAGGAGTCCTCGCTGTGGAGACCTTCTTTTATCTCACAAGTTGAGAAGTTTACATTGTTGAATTAAAGTCTCTTATATTTACACGTTATCCGTGTGATGATGTCACGCTGACAGGAATGATGAGCAGGTGACAGGGACAGTTTGCTGGCGTCAGATAGTTTCTGGTTTGACCTTTAAAACTTCGTAAAGTGATTTGACAGCATTAAAAGAGAGACTTTACATTCAGAGGCAGCAGAGTGGTGGCTGATGATGGCTGCTTATGAAATCAGATGTGGCTCATTGGCATGCTGTGCAGCTTAGGCAGGGCTGCTTATGTTCATGCTCTCATTTTATTGCTTCGTCATGTCTGAGACGTGTGTGTGTGTGTGTGCTAACTGATTAGGTTTTAACAAAACATTTATTTTGCCCGAAATTTCAATCCAATGGTACGGTGGCCGATAGATGCAAAGGCTCCGCAACATGCTGAAACGATGCATTTTAGAAAAGCGTGCAGCATGTTCAGAAACTGCAGCACAATCTAAAGTTAATGCAAACAAATGCAATGACTGAAACACGCTGCAAAAGAAATAAACGTACTTCAAAAGAAACAAACACGCTGCAAAAAAAGGCAAAACAGCTGCATTAACACAAAACACGCTGCAGCCTGCAGATACAGAAAGTAAAAAAATACACACATTCATACAACAGCAAATACAGCAGCACATATTTATAAATGTCTGTCCGTGATGCCGAGTCTTTGCACCTGAAAACGGATATAGACAACAAAGAGAAGCAGAAAATCCCCAATTTAACTAGCTGTACACTAGATGATTTAAAAAAAAAATTATTATGATGTTGAGACTTGTGATTTGCTCCCCTCCGATGTAACTCTAGAATTATTCTATAATCTTGTCCAGGATTCATTTCCACATTACCAACACTGTTGATGGCAGTGTGTGATGTCACGCACGAACCACGAGGCTGCCTAACAAGGGGAATCACACATGCTGCACCATGTTCAAAACTTTCTCTCTTTCATTTTACAGGTGGGTGTTTTTGATGAGGAAAGGTTACCAGGAGAGAGAGGAGGGCATCCAGACCTCTGTCATCACCAAGCTTAAAGGTGTCGCACTAACCAACAGCTCAGAGACGGGCGTTCAGCTGTGGAACTCGGAGGATTATGTCATACCCCCTAGTGTGAGTCTGTTTATCTATCTATGGTAAATGGAGTTGAGCATGCTTTTTAAAAAATGCGTTTTCTAGTCATCTGACGCTTTTACATCCCAGGTCACACCTACACATTCACACACTGATGGTAGAGGCTGCTGAGTAAAGAGTCATTCAGTGTTAACACATCCATTCATTCACCACTGTGGCGCCATGGGCTGGGGATCAAACCCCTGACCTTCCGGTTGAGAGACGGCCAACTCTACCACTAAGCCACAGCCGCCCTGTTATCCATCAATCAATCCGTCTATAGATCCATCCACCCATCTGTCCAACCATCCATCATCTATCTACAATCCTTCTCTCCATGCATCCCTATGTCATCCATTAGTCCATCCATCCATCCATACATCCATCCATCCATACATCCATCCATCCATACTTCTGTCATCCATACATCCATCCATCCATCCATACTTCTGTTATCCATCCATCCATCCATCCATACATCCCTCTGTCATCCATCCATCCATCCAACCATCAATACTTCCGTCATCCATCCATACATCCCTCTGTCATACATATGTC